TATATATATATAATATAATACATATATATATATTTAGTACACACACACACACGCACATATACATATATATAGATATATAAATGGATATATATATACATATAATATATATATATATAGATAGATATAGATATAGATACTTATATAATATAGACATGAAAAAATTGTATTCATATACATAATATATCTATAAATATAGATATATATATAGATATAGTTATAGACAGATAGATATAAATATAATGGGATAAGTACATTCACCACTATATAAATAGAAAACTATATATTGGTTCACAAATACATATTTTCTAATGTTTGTGTTTAGGAAGACGCTGATCAATGTAAGTATTTTGATTTCAAGTGGTCACAGTTGGCAGTGGATACATTGGGGAAAGGAAGACCCATAATTTTACAGAGAGAACATCGAACGGAGAACCCCTGTGTTCGTATTGCTCTGAAGATGGCAGGTAGGCTAAATTCCCGGAAATGACTATCAGGTATGGGTACGAGAGATCGAAAACTAAGAATAATGGAGTGATAATTTTCTCCTTCACATTTACTAAATAGCCTTAAGTAATGGCTGGCAAGTTAGCACACCAAAGTAAATTTCAGTCAGAAGATCTTAATTGGGGTGGCAGCCGAAACAATCCTTGATGTATTTACAATGTATATCTCGTAAGCAGTGCTCCTCTGAGTCTACTACATTTTGACAGCGCGTGCGCAATTGAAATGTACTACAGAGAGCTTTATCTAGTTTGCTGCACGGTACTGACCTTCGCGTTAGCCAAAGCGGCCGTCATCTCCTCGAATGTCATACCTTCCTTATCACCCAGACTACGCCCAAACGCAGTCACCCCCGTTGAGGAAGCGTGTAGAGCAGGCGTCGAGGTATCTATACTGGCTGTGTCGTCCAAGGCATGAGGGTTTAATAATTCGTACTGACGGGCAACGCCGTCCCCACCTTTGGGTGTTTTAACTTTGTACTTCTTCGTCCGCTGCTGCTTCTTCTTCTCCGCATCGAACCGTTCCTTCTGTTCCTGTACACAATTGAGTTTCTCGAGATCTTTCTGTGTATTGCCGAGTTGCTTGGATACCAACAATTCAACCAGGCTGAAGTCTATGAATCCAGCGTTTGCTCCTTTCACGACGTACTCCACGAACTCCTCGTCTAGAAGCCCATTCATGTCAGCTGCACTAAGACTATGTTTCCCAGTGCTATTACGCGTGCCTGATAAGGGACTGCGACCAGACTCTTTGGCCTTGTAATCTCCACCGTAAACAACCGAATTATCAGTCCCTCGAGAACGGGAGTTACCTTTTACTTCTTGTTTAACGTCTAGACCTCGTTCATGAGACGCCGAGGTATTTACTACTTTACGACTTCGTCGACTGGTTTCCTTAGTATCACTTGAGCCCATGGTGTCTCCTGCTGAGGAATGCGTGACTATGGTAGGTGCGCTTACATGGTCAACGTTGTCCTCGTCATGACAATATGATGAGGTATGGCATGAGTTCGTATTGTGATCGCCTGCAGGGCTTCCGAGATCCCCGTTTGTCCCACCAGAATGCCGACCAGACGATGATTGCTGTTCATGATTGGACTTGACCCGGATTTTGCGTCTGCTGTGCGACACACCGGGGACCTCCGTAATATCTGATACTGAGCTCTCTCCCATCACTATGGCTGTGCTGGTGGGTTGTATTGTTTAACAGCTGTACTACCCACACAAAAAAGGTCTCTATTTATATGCTCTCTCTCTCTGGTTTATTAGAGCATAATAAATATAACAGAAAGTATAAAATAAATAGAGGGTTTTATTTTTTGTTCGTGTTTAAAAAAAAAAGTTTAGTGCAATTGTTGTTGTAAATAAACACAACAGACTCACAGGGTCACAGACCCCAGAGGCGGGCCAAGGGCCAGGCCCAGGCGCCAGGCCCAGGCGCCAGGCCCCAGAGGCCCAGGGGCCCGAGAGAATGGTCATTAGTCAGCCGTCAGACCGTCAGAGAGAAAAGCACAAAAAGTCACTGCTCCCGGTCTGGCCTCTCTCTCTACTGTAGAAGTCTGGATTCTGGAGTCTGGGCTCTGGAGTCTGGACTTGGAGTCTGGACTTGGAGTCTGGACTCTGGACTCTGAGCTCTGGTAAATATGTATTCAAGAAACTGAAAGTCAAGCCGACTATAGGTCAAGCAAGTATTATGATTTTGTACGTAAATATGCGGAATGCAAAAAAATAATATGGAATTCCAGTACTATCGTCTTCTTCTAATTTAGTAATTTCCTGAGAGCGGGATGGTCATTTATTTTTAAAAAAGAATTAATATTCGAGTCTTCAGCAGTTCACTCATTTTCAGAGGACAGAGGGCCTTGGTTTGATTTCAGAAGGCTATGACAGAGGGCTATTTTTAAATATGTATTTTGTTTTGTGTTCATTTTTGTTTTTGGGGTTTTTTAAAACAAAAAAAAACGACATAATTATTTGGGGCCTAGTAGGCCCCGGGCCCTGGGATCAGAAATTTCTGATTCTGAACGTTTAGAATCAGAAATTTACATTTGAACCAATAGGATGGCCATAGTTTTAATATGTTTTAAAAGAAAAGAAAGTGAATCTTTTTCTGAATGAGGTCAAAATTTCGAGAGCAAAAATTCTTCTCGAAACTTGGATTCAGAATCAGAAGTATTTACGTATTCAGAAGATTGTTTACGGGAACTGCAATTTCCAGGCCATAAACGTACTTTTAAATTTGTGCACATTTTTCAGCAATCGTCATGGCCCTCTGGATTTGAGTCTGCGCTAAATTTACGATTTCCGCTGCGACTCTGGATTTGAGTCACTGCTAAATTTACGATTTTCGGCGGAAGAAACCTGATTTCTGCTTGAGACCCAAATCCCCAGAGGGCCTTGCAATCGTTTCTGAATTCTGATCGGTGAATAACTTGAAACCCACTATTTATCACCGAAAGCGTAGCTGTAGAGTCCCTATTTCTTTTATTGAACTTGAAATCTGTCTGTAACGCTTTTTCCCCATTTGTAGGCCCCCAAGAGAACGCTTTCCCCCCAATTGTAGGCCCCCAAGAGGCCCTCTAGGGATCCTAAATGGAATTTGTTTCAAAAAATAGGGCATACTTTTGTGGGACCGTTATTGACGGCTGAAAAGAAAGTTGTTTTATAAAAAAGGGCGGGGGGGTTTCCTTCCCCCCTTCCCTTCCCCCGCTCCCCCGCCGTGGGTGAGTGTGTTTATGTTTGAGCGTGTGTGACTGAACAACAGTGCGTATTTGTGTGTGTGTGTGTTGAGTAAAAGTGAGAAAGGGTCCATCAAGAAATCTCAGTATCTCACCCTCAGCTCACCCTGTGCGGATATATTCACAAGTTAATAGTTTACCCTCTTAGGAGAAAAGCTTTCGGTCTCTGCGGCGCCCTAGCCGTGTTTTATTTAATAGCGTCTTTCAGAGCAATGATGAGTCACTTCTATCAGAACTCTCTGAAAAGTACGGAAACGAATTGCACCCAAAATTGCTCGCAGACCTAAATTTAAAAAAGTTTACATTACGATTGATCCTACGCCAAAATTGTACTTTCTGTCCTTTCTGTCCTTTCTGGTTCTGATTCTGTTTAGAATTTCTGATCCCGTTTATTTTTCGAAATATAAGACACCCTCGTATTTGTTGTAACTAAAAAAAGGAATATCACTCGGGATGGGGGCCTACAAATGGAAATTGTCACCGTTTGTCCTACGTGGACTTGTCCGTTCTCCCCTATTTTCCACTTTTTCTCTGTCTCTCTAGAGTATTAATAGATGGTCATGCGATTTATTTAGCTGAATGTATCGTTGTTTCTATGGCGCATGTATTCTTTTTATTGTGTCTCATCAGGGTGGGTCTGTGGTCTGTGGTCTGTGGGGCTCAATGGCATTTGGCGAACTGGGGCCTGGGGGGTGGGCCCCGTGGGGTCGTAGGGCTCCGTTATGACTTTTGTGAGTGTTCAAATTTTGTTGTTGATTAATGTTTTTGTTTTTGTTTTTATTAAAAACAAAACAAAACTAAAACAAGATATAGTCATATTTGTGTACGATATATATATGTATCATATATATGAATCATGGATAAATATATACGCAATGGATATATATATACGCAATAGGTATATATATATACGCAATGAATATATATATATATATACGCAATGGATATATATATATATACGCAATAAGAAATATATATACGCAATGGATATATATATACGCAATGGATATATATATACGCAATGGATATATATATATACGCAATGG